CTCTGTCAGCGTCAGCTTTCCCGTCGCACGAGACTGCTGGTGACAGGCACTGCTCATCCTCACCCCTCCCCAATACGCATCGGCTTAAAAAATACGTCCTGAGCACCTGCTGTGTGCCAGGTACTGAAGTCACAGCAGTGAACCATACCATCCAAAGTCCCCGCACTGAGGAGCTGATGGATGCAGTCAGTAAACAAGACAAACAAGTAAGATATATGGTCTATCAGGCGAGGAGAGGAGGGAGAGAAGGGAAGGGTCGTCGGGTTGAGACATTCTGTAGAGCTGCTGGTCCCGTTTTCAGAGTTAGCCATTCACTCGGTTGCAAGTGGCAAACATGCCCTCCTGACCAAGCAAAAAGCAAACACTTGCTTCCTACGCGAGACACGGAATGAGCTCCAGGTGTGGCTGAGGCCAGGGATTTGAATTCTTCCCTTGAGGTGCCGACTCTCTGGCCCTAGGATCTGCTTCCTCCAGGCTGGCTCTTCTCAGGCAGGCTGCTGGGCTCCGTCACCAGGCCAGGCCCATGCCCACCACATGGTGAGAGGAGACAGCGAGGGCCTCCAGGGAGGGGTCCTCTCAGGCATAGAAAGGAGGTCTTACTCTGAAAAAGGGAGGGGCAGGGGTCTGAAAAGGCTTCATAAAAATGGTGCCCGTCGAGATGAGCATGGAAGGATGAGGTGGAGGTGCCCGCTGGGTGGGGGAAATGCATTCCAGGCAGAGGACAGCCGTGCAAAAGTATGCAAATTCCTGTGGTTTCCAGACTGCTGGGTGTTTGGTGGGAGCAGAAACGGACAAGTCCAGAGAGGCGGCCGGAGGCCAAACATGCAGAGCCCGAATGCCAGACTGCTTCCGGCTCTGTCCCGCACGCTGGGGAAGCTGTGGGGGAATTTAAGGCAGGGGAGGGCCACAGTCACATTCTCCTCCCTTGGAGATAAAACGGAAGGTGAATGAATGGTGGCAGGGAGAAAACCCAGAGGCAGCCGGAAGGCCAGGGAGGAGCTGCTGTATTGAGATGGGTGGCCTGGGGAAGGTCACAGAATTTCTGGAACCAACTTGACAGGACTATTAATAAATATGGAGGGTTAAGAGCCTGGGACGGCCGGCACCGGTTTGGCTCAGTGGATAGAGCGTCGGTCTGCGGACTGAAAGGTCCCAGGTTCGATTCCGGTCAAGGGCATGTACCTTGGTTGCGGGCACATCCCCAGTAGGGGGTGTGCAGGAGGCAGCTGATCCATGATTCTCTCTCATCGACGTTTCTAGCTCTCTATTCCTCTCTCTTCCTCTCTGTGAAAAATCAATAAAAATATATTAAAAAAAAAAAAAAAAAGAGCCTGGGACGGGGACATTCTGGGGTCTGATCCGATGATGTGGCTACCAGCTGGCTTCAGGCAGGTGTGAGGGAGGGGAGAGTCCCCAGCTCTTGGCAGCAGGCAGGAGACACTGGCGTTGCCATGTCTGGGAATTGGAATTCAACGTGGTCAATTCTTGGATGCCTCCAGGGATGGGAAGCTCACCCCTTCAATAGTTCTGACCTAAATAAACTATGGACTCAAAATTTTTTTTAAAGTATATTTTATTGATTTTTTTTTTTTTTTTTACAGAGAGAAAGGGAGAGGGATAGAGAGTTAGAAACATCGATGAGAGAAACTTGGACCAGCTGCTTCTGCACACTCCCCACCTGGGACATGCCTGCAACCAAGGTACATGCCCTTGACTGGAATCGAACCCAGGACCTTCCAGTCCACAGGCAGATGCTCTCTCCACTGAGCCAAACTGGTTTTGGCTGGACTCAAATTTATACCTTAAGAGTTAGGCACAGCCCAGTGTGCCCCTGTCCACCTTGGGGGGGGGGGGTCCCTGGGCCCTGGGCCAGCCCTGGGAGATTCGGGCACCTGACACTGTCTCCTTAAGTCTGTCCTTCCCCTGTATCAACACTTTTGCTTTCTCTGACCATGGGACGAGGACCCCTGAGCGTCCTGGGGAGGGTGTAGGTGTTACTCAGACGCTGAGTATCCACTCACAGAGGGAGAAAGGCAGCCGGCTGATACTCTTCCTGCCTCTCTGGCTCAGATACTCTCCGGCCTCTCAGACCGCTTCAAGGAGAAAGCCTCCACGGGGTGCCAGGGCATCTTAACATCTTGGATGCTGTCCTTGCTGAGCGGAGAGAAGGCAGCCTCCACCGCGGGGCTGGGGCCGCAGCAGCCGTCTCTGGTGCGAGTCCAATGATGCTGTCGGTCTCTGCTTTGGCTGTTTGGATGCTGCTTTTCTATTTCTGGCAAGTGATGATGGTTTGCCTTATATGGCGGGCCTTCATCACCTGACAGATGCCAGCGGCAGGAGCCCAGCCCTTTGCTGGTGGCTGGGAGGCAGGGCTGGGGGCGGAGCCCGGGACCATCCCGCAGCCGGATCTGAGGAGCAGGGTCCCTGCTCAGGAGGGCTGTTCTCAGAGGCTCCTCTGAGCAAACACCCCCCCCCCCCCAATAAATTACACCCCAGGCAGGAACCCTCTCCACCCTCTCCTCCCGCCACTTCCCTCGCTGAGCGCTGAGGAGAACCCCGCTGCCAGTTGGAGGGGCCCCTTCTGGCACTTCCCTCTCCCGTGCGACACCAATGGGATCGTTTGCACCGTCACATCCTGGTGGTGGCGGCTTTCAACAACGGTAGATTTTAGCACTTTAATCGTTGCCTGGTTTTTTGTGCATAGTATTCCATCACGTGGATGTTCTGTGATTCTCAGCAGTGGCCCACTATTCCCAGAAACCCCACGATGCCCTGGAGGCATGGCCACCAAGCCCTGTGGAGTAACAAGGCTAAATGGGGACCCAGGTTATGTGGGTACCTTCGTTCATCGCTCTCCCGAGATGAGCTCTTCCAGGGGGGCTCCTGCATTAGAAGGAGCCGCGAGGGAGCCCGCAGAGCCATGCTCGGGGGCAGGCCCAGGGCATGGTCATCCAGGGCCCCTCCCGCCCTCCTGTGAAGGGAGGCCAGCGCTGCCCAGCGGGCCAGGAAGAAGTGGAGGCGCGGACCGGGGCAGCCCTGCCTCCGGCGCAGCTGGGCCGGCCCCTGGCCGTGATTCTCCAGAGGAGGCTGCTCCACCTGGGCGAGGCCTCGGTGCCACAGGGCATTTTCCCCTCCGGCTCCATCCAGTCTCCCTTACCGATGAGGACGGTCGGTCGTGAGAGAGCGGCGGGCATCTGTGGAACGCTTCCCCTGCACCAGGCACCAGCGGCCCTTTACAACGACAGGTAATTGATGAATTAAGTGAACTCTGCGGACCCAGCGCCCTGCAGGAGAGGTGACTGGGGCGTTGGGATCGCAGAGTTGCTTACCTCCCGGCCACGCCGCTCATTCCCCCCTTCGCGGGGCGCTGCGGCACCTGCTCGGAGCTCCAAGGCCTTTGCCTTCGGGCATGGGTGGGGCGGGGGGGGAGGCGGTGCGCGCCCGCGGCCGGCCTTCGGCCAGGAAGCGGTGCGGAGCGGTGACCGCCTCTGTCCCCGCCCGCCCGGCCTGCGGGAGGGGCCGGCGGCGCGCGGAGCGGATCTCGGAACGACCGGCGCTAGGACCCGCGGGGCCTCCGGGCCGCAGCCCCGGGCCCCCACCCCAGCCCACCTCACCCCGCCCAAAATGAGGAAACGGAGCAACTTGCTCCAAGTTGTGCGGCCAGGGCGGCCTCGGGGTGCGCAGCCGGGGCGCCGGGGCCTGCCGGGGGGCGGGGGCGGGGCGCGGCCCGGAGACTCCCTCTGAGCAGGTGAGCCGGGCCGGCGGCGGCGGGGACGCGGGGTGAGACCGCCGGTGCGGAGGCGGCCCCGGGGGGCCGGGGCGTGCCCCCGGGGGCCGGCGTGCGGGGCGCGGCGGGGCGGGGCTGGGGCGGCGGTGGTTAGGGGCGGCGCGGCGGGTGGAGGGTGTTTTCCGGGGGGCAGGGGTGCGCGGCTGTGAGCCCCCGGTGTGTGTGCCCCCCCGGTGTGTGCACCCGCGCGTCCACGTGGAGGGAGGTGCGCGGGGGGCTGAGATGCGTGTGCACGGCCTTGCGCGCGGCTCTGTCCGGGTGGCCCAGCGTATGGCGCCCAGGTGTTCCAGTGCGTGTGTCTGTGGGGATGGGGGGGAGGGGGGAGGGAGACACAGATACGTTTCCAGATGTCTGAGCACCTGTGTGCGTGTGTGTATACATTTGTAGATGCGTGTGTACACCGGTCTGTAGGGGGGACGTGCCCTTGCTTGCATACCTGCGGGTCTGTGGGTACCTGTGTCCGCGCCTCGTGTGTGTTTCTCTGTGTGCTTGTGTGTGCATGGGTCCGTATGTGTGTGAGTCCATGGAGGGCTGGGTATTTGTGGGGTTACACACTGGAGGAGCAGAGACTCACCCTGGAACCCGCCCCGCGAGCCCAGCCACCCGAGGTGGGGTCGCTGGGGGAGGTAGGGGCAGTGAGGGCGTTGGGGTGGGGTAGGGATTAGAGAGGTTCAGCGGGCCAGCCCGATGAGCTCAGCAGGGCTGCGCTGCCCCATATAGGGTCAGAGTTTCTTGGCAATGACCTTGAATCATTCCATATTTCCCTGCCCTGCTCTTCCAGAAAAGAGGAAGAACCAGGCGCGATGAGGTGGCACCGAGCTCCCCGGGCGCTGTGTGGGCTGCGGGGGCCTGAACCAGGCGTGTGCCTCCTCCCGGCCTGTGGCCACTCGCTCTGTGCCCATGTTGGGCCTCAGTTTCCTTTCTGGAACAATGGTAGGGCCAGGCGTCCCGATCTCCTCACTGATGTGTAAGGGCTTTGACTCAGCTGAGGAACGCCCCTCGGCAAAGACCACCTTCCCGAGGGGCTGGGAGAACCAGTGTTTATAACTCCCGCCCCCAGCCTCGGGCTGTGCCTCCCCCTGGCCTGGCTGGCAGTGGCAGTGATGGCCCCGAGCCCCCGCCCGGCTTGAGTCTGCTCTCCAGTGGTCTTTGCCCCCCTCCAGGTGAGCCCTGGCTTTCTCCAGGCCTGGCACTCCGGCCCATCTCAGCCAGGATGCCCACAGTGAGTACCCGCACCCTGGATGCCCGTATCCCTGGCGCTTGCTCAGCTCAGTCCGTGTCCACAGGCCCTCAGCTCCACGGGGAGGGCGGATGCGCTCTGACCCACGCCCCCTTTGGCCGATGTCGTCCGGGTTTCCTGCCTTTTGGTGATGCATTGCCTTCACCTCCCTGACCCGTCCTGGGTGCCCTCTGTTTGTGAGGAATGCGTCTCTGCTGGCTGCTCCCTTGTCTTATCTCCTCTTCTCCCTCACTCCCCTGCCTCAGTCCAATCTTTCTCTCCCTGGGGCATCCCCTTCGTGTCACCTTTGACCTCTTCTTCCCTCTGCCTCCCACCCAGAGGCGCTGGGCCCCAGGCACCCAGTGCATCACCAAGTGTGAGCACACGCGCCCGAAGCCTGGAGAGCTGGCCTTCCACAAGGGCGACATGGTCACCATCCTGGAGGCCTGTGAGGTGAGCTGTGGCCAGAGGGCCTGGGGATGGGACTCAGTCAGGAACCACCACCCCCTCCTGCCCCCAGACCGACCCCCGCCTCCCTCCCCGGCAGAGCAAGAGCTGGTACCGAGCCAAGCACCACGCCAGCGGGCAGGAGGGGCTGCTGGCGGCGGGCGCGCTGCGGGAGCGGGAGGCCCTCTCAGCGGACCCCAAGCTCAGCCTCATGCCGTGAGTGGATGGCGGGGCTGGCCCAGGGGCGAGCCATCGGAGGCCCGGCCGCCCGCCCGACCGCCCTCCTGCCGCCGCAGGTGGTTCCACGGGAAGATCTCGGGCCAGGAGGCCGTGCAGCTGCTGCAGCCGCCGGAGGACGGGCTGTTCCTGGTGCGCGAGTCGGTGCGGCACCCCGGGGACTACGTGCTGTGCGTGAGCTTCCGCCGCGAAGTCATCCACTACCGCGTGCTGCACCGCGACGGCCACCTGACCATAGACGAGGCCACCTGCTTCTGCAACCTCATGGATATGGTGGAGGTGCAGCTCGGCCGGAGTCCCGTGTTCCCCCGGCCCTGCCCCCTCCCCCAGCCGGATGGACATGGGGACCCCCAGAGCCACATGCTCCCCAATTGCAAGAAGGAGCGGGTCCTCTGGACCACCCACCATATAGGTGTCCGAGCTCTCGGTTCCACTTCCAGGGACTGGGTGGCTCCTTTGGGGGACCTCCACGTTGACACCAATCTAGAGACACCCCTGTCATCCTCCCCTTACCCGCCTCTTTTCCCCCCCCTCCCAGTTTGCATCTTTCCTATCCCCATGGAAACCAGCCCACCACAACGTGTGGGAACCAAACCCCTCTCCTCATGAGCTCATGCCCACCCTGTCCAGAGCCCACCCCGGAAGGGAACAGGATGAGGGACGCCCCACACCCTGGGGTCGGACTCACCGCCACCTCTGCCCCTCCCCTCCCTGCAGCATTACAGCAAGGACAAGGGGGCCATCTGCACGAAACTGGTGAAGCCCAAGAGGAAGCAGGGGGCTAAGTCCGCGGAGGAAGAGCTGGCCAAGGGTAGGGGCCCGCACCTTCTCTGCCGTGTTTGCTGCCCGAGATGGAGTGGGTTCCACCTCTGCTGCTTCTCCCACGTCCGCGTCTTCTGCCCTGTCGCCTGAGCCGGAAACCTGGCCCAAACCTCCACCTACCTGCCCTTCATGCCCCCTCCTGGCCTCTCAGGCCCTCCCCTCAGACCACCTCCTCCCAGGGGGGCAGTCCCCCTTCTTCCTGACCCGGCACCTCTGGTCCCAAAGGCACAGGAATCTTTCTAAGGTTCCAGAAGCTTTACTGTTCTCCACGCCAAGAGTATTTTGCTCAGTGTGTGTCCTTAGGAGGCCAGAGGTAAAGGACTGTAAAGGGAGGAGTATTTAAAGGGACACAGTCTCCAGATAGAAGAGACGGGCAGCCCTGAAGGGTAGGCTCTGTTGCCTTTGACCACATAACTGGTGTCAGGAGCGGGCTGTGTCAGCCATGCCCTTTGGACCGTGACTGGGAATAGCAGCCACCCAAACGTGAGACACCACCCAGCACCCGGCTGTGGGGACACCCTCTGGTCTCTCCAGATGGCGCCCCTGCTGGGAGGGGCCGGGGAAGCCTGTTACCTCTCTGACCCGGTCTTTGCCCCACAGCTGGCTGGCTATTGGACCTGCAGTATTTGACCCTGGGAGCGCAAATCGGAGAGGGGGAGTTTGGAGGTGAGTAGGGGCGTGGCCGGGTGAGCTGGAGGAAGTTGGGGGCTTCAAGTTTTTGGAGTCACAGAGATGAATTCACATCCATATTTAAGACCTACACGCTCCGCTCCGCAGCTGAAGGCAAACCACTCCCCTGAGTCTCGGCTTCCTCCTCTGTGAAAGGGGTTGACAACAGCTGTTGTGAGGAGTAAATAAACTCAGGCAGACGCCCCGTGAATGCGAATCCCTCACACCTGCAGCCTCTTGCACATGCTGGTCCCTGTGCTCGGAAAGCCATTCCCTGAAATGATTATTCTGGAAGGCTCTAGGGCAGTGGTTCTCAGCCTTTCTAATGCCGCGACCTTTTAATTCAGTTCCTCATGTTGTGATGACCCCCACCCATAAAATTATATGCGTTGCTACTTCATAACTGTAATTTTGCTGCTGTTAATGAATCCTAATGTAAATGTCTGTGTTTTCCGATGGTCTTAGGCTCTACAACAGCGGTTCTCACCCTGTGGGTCACGACCTCTGGGTCGCTGTAGAGCCTAAGACCATCGGAAAACACAGATATTTACATTAGGATTCATTAACAGCAGCAAAATTACAGTTATGAAGTAGCAACGAAAATCTACACAACCTGAGGAACTGTATTAAAGGGTCACGGCATTAGGAAGGTTGAGAACCACTGCTCTAGGGCTTAGCCCAGGGGCCTATGGACTTCTCTCTAAAGGGCCGGAGGGCAAATATTTTTGGCTTTGCAGGCCAGACATCTGTCCCATCTGCTCAGCTCTGCATTCGTAGCAGGAGAGCAGCCCCAGGTGATAGGTAAACCATCAGGAGTGGCTGTGTGCCAATAAAACTTTATTTACAGACACTGAATTTTCCCTCCTATAATTTTCATGTGTCATGGAATAACATTCTTTTGACTTTTTAAACTATTTAATAACATAAAAACAAATAAGAATATAAAAACCATTCTGAGCTCATGGGCCTTGCAAAAGCACACGATGGAACTGGATTTGGCCCTAGGGACAGAGTGTGCAGCCCCCTAAATCCTCTTTGATCAGGGGTTTGGGAGTTCGGAGGTGGCACGGCCAAGGGAGTTTCCATGTACCTGAGGCTGTGCTGGTGTACATGGGGTCAGTGTGAATGGGTATGTCCCTTTGTCTGTCTCCAACCCACCCCGCAGCCGTCCTGCAGGGCGAGTACCTGGGCCAGAAGGTGGCCGTGAAGAACATCAAGTGCGATGTGACAGCCCAGGCCTTCCTGGATGAGACGGCAGTCATGACGTGAGTCCCCGGTGGGGTTTGGGCGCCCTGGGGGTGGGGGTTCTAGCCGCGCCTTCACCCCCTCCTCTGTCGCCCCACAGGAAGATGCAGCACAAGAACCTGGTGCGTCTGCTGGGCGTGATCCTGCACCAGGGCCTCTACATCGTCATGGAGCACGTGAGCAAGGTACGGCGGGCTGAGAGGCAGGTGGGGGTGCAGGTGGGGCTTGGAGAGGCAGCCAAGAAGCCTCGAACCCGAGCCCCATGTCTTCCTCCCTCCCCGCCGCCCCAGGGCAACCTGGTGAACTTCCTCCGAACGCGGGGCCGGGCCCTTGTGAACACCCCGCAGCTCCTGCAGTTTTCCCTGTGAGTGGGGCCCCCGGTGGGCGGGAAACGGGCTCCCCAAGGTCAAGGAGAAACGCAGGAAGGAGCCCAGCCTTGGGAGGTCAAAGACTCCCCTCCCCTCCCAGGCACGTGGCCGAGGGCATGGAGTACCTGGAGAGCAAGAAGCTGGTGCATCGAGACCTGGCTGCCCGCAACATCCTCATCTCGGAGGACCTGGTGGCCAAGGTCAGCGACTTCGGCCTGGCCAAGGCCGAGCGGAAGGGGCTGGACGCCAGCCGACTGCCCGTCAAGTGGACAGCGCCTGAGGCGCTCAAACACGGGGTGAGCGCCCCTCGGTCCCCGGGGACCTTGGAGCCCCAGCTCCACAGCGTGACCCTGGGCACCTGCCTTGGCCTCTCTGAACCGCCCAGGGGAATGACGCTGCCTCCCCAGCGAGTCCTTGGTCCATCGTTGTCCTTTTTAGTTTCCATCTGGTCTCTCTTGTGTGTGACCCTGTCTAGGCCCGTTTCCCCGTTTCTGGGCTCAGTGCTGAGGGCAAGGAGAACCAGCCTCCTCCCTGCTCTACACCTGGCCTGCCCTTGGGCAAAGGGGCAAGGACTCAGGGAATGGGGTCTGTTGGGAAGAGACCGGAGAAGGCAGGTCAACCCAGGGGGACTTCCTGGGAGAATCAGGGACCTTGAAGGGTCCCTCCTCACCCTGGTCTTGGGCCCCACAGAAATTCTCCAGTAAGTCCGACGTCTGGAGTTTCGGGGTGCTGCTATGGGAGGTCTTCTCATATGGCCGGGCTCCGTACCCCAAGATGGTGAGTGTGGCCTGGGTGGGGGAGGCACTGGGTTCCACGCGGGGCTGGGGCCCCAGCCCCGAGCCCCAGCCCACACAGGTGTGCCCTCTGCCCAGTCGCTGAAGGAGGTGACGGAGGCTGTGGAGAAGGGATACCGCATGGAGCCCCCTGAGGGCTGCCCAGGCCCTGTCCACACCCTCATGAGCAGCTGCTGGGAGGCGGAGCCTGCCCGCCGGCCAACCTTCCGAAAACTGGCCGAGAAGCTGGCCCGGGAGCTGCGCAGCGCGGGCGCCACCGGCCACGGTGAAGGACAGGACGCTGATGGCTCCGCCCTGCCCCGCAGCCAGGAGCCTTGACCCTGCCTGGTGGGGCCGTGGCCCCAGAGGACAGAGAGCGGGGGGCTCAGGGTGGGGACACACCGGGCCTAAGGAGGCTTGGGCCCGCAAGCTGCCCGCCTGGCTCACAGCACAGAAGCAGGCCTTTGTGGGGGCTTGGGCAGCCCCTGGCTACCACAGACCCAGGGAGGAGGATTGGAGCCTCGATAAAGACTGGTTTCAAGAACTGGGGGCCTCCGAGTCTCTCTCTGCGACCCCCAATGTCTTCTTGGACCCATCACTCAGCTCGGGACAATCAACCTGCCAGTCGTCTGCCCACTGAGGGGTCTGCCCAGCCATGACCCACTGGCAGCCACTGGGGACACAGACCCCTGGGATGACCAGGAGCCTCTCCAGGCCAGAGATGACAGCCTCCCCGTGGACCCCTTGCCATCACCCACAGGGACCCCCCCATCCTCCAGCTGTCACAGCCCAGCCGTCTAACCCTGCGACCTGGAGCCCCAGGAACACCCAGCGGAGCGCCTGTCCAGAGCCCTGCCCCTCTTGTCCTCTCTGGTGAGGGGTCTGGGCTCTGGGCTGAGCCCCAGGTTCAATCTTGACTTACCCCTTAGCTGTGTGGCCTCAGCAGGCCTACCTGGGCCCACCTATGATCAGGAATCTTGGGGGGAGGTGTTGTAGGACCCGGAGTGGGGAGAAGGTGAGGGCTGAGTGCACACAGCTGGTGCTGTTGTTGCTGTGACTGTCACCTGCCCATCTTGGTAGACCTTCGCATCCAGACAGCCTCTAGGATGCCTGGCGGGGCTTTTGGGACAGGCTGGATGCTGTCCCCCCCAAGACCCCCCAAGCTGGAGAGGAAACACCAGGCCCCAGTGTGCTGGCCCACCTCGCCTCAGCTAGCAACGTGCCCCGAAGTTACACTGCTCTCCCACTAGCTGCAGGAGCTGCTAGTCCTTCTGACTCAATTTCCCCACCAGCACCTGACAGGGTTCAGTGATTCTTCCTAAGGGAGGAATAAAGGGTGGGAGGCTAGAGAGGCAGAGAGAGAGCGAGCGAGCGAGCGCGCGCGCGGGCACACACACCCCTCCCTCCACACACACCCCTCCCTCCACACACACACACACACACACACACACCCCTCCCTCCACATACACACACACACCCCTCCCTCCACATACACACACACACCCCTCCCTTCACACACACACACACACACACCCTCTGCCTAATCCAGTTTGAGGGACTGCGCGCCCCGCCCCCAATCCGGCCCTCTAAGCTGACACAGCATCTGCACCGTCAGCCACATCCTGCTAATCAAGAAAGCGCCCTGCACCTGACCGGGATCCCTCTGCAGCCTCTTAACCAGTGAGGCCAATTAGCTAATTGGGGCCTGAGAGAACAGGAGCAGCTTGTTAACGTTTTAACTGATGAAGCCATTAGGGGATTACCTGCCGGCCCCACAGGGCGCTCCCGGCTGCGGAGCGCAGAGCCTGGCAGAGCCGCCTGCTGGGGCTGGGAGTCAGGAGCCGCCCTGCCGCCTGGGCTCAGGACCTTCCCTGCGGCCTGCGGCCTCCGACCTCAGCCCTCCGCACGGCACACGGAGCCCCGGCCGGCCTCCTCTGAGGCCGCCGGTCCCTGCAGTTGGACCCGATTCCTCCAGGGCCATCACTCCTTTTCTGGGGGCAGGGAGGTGCCTGACACTGTCTCTTTCTCCATGTGTGTCTCTCCCAACGTTCCAGAAAGATCTCTGCTTTCGCTTGTAATCGCTCCCCAGGCCATCTGAGGGCCTGGGCCTCCACGAAATTCAGCAACCGATGTTCAGGCCTCCCCTGGCCACTCCTCCTCTGGGTTTCCGGGGCCCCATTGCCTGAGCCCCCAGGCTTCTTGGATTTGGAGGGCTGGCCAGCCAGTCTCAGGGTCGTCCCCTGGGTCCTGCTCCAGCTCTCCGGCCACTAGTTCTGTGACAATCCCACGCCCCTCCTATCTCCAAAGCAGGGACTCATCCAAAATACGGTCTGTGTCCCTCCCCTGCTCTACAACCTCCCCTGGCTCTCTAGCAACCCCCCTTCACGCCCCGTCTTGTCCAGAATCTGCAGCCTTGCCCTCACTCCCCATTCTGATCACGTTCCTTAAAAGAGCACCCCCCCCCCTTACAGCCCCCTTCCCTCTCCTGCTTGAGCTTCCTCTCTTTACTCCTCACCATTTGACACTCTATTTTACTTATATAGCTGCTGGTCATCTCCCAACTCGGATGTCACCCCAAGATTTGGGTCTGTTTTGTTCACTGGTATACAATTAAGTGCTCAATACATGTTTGTTCACATCTCAAAGCCCAGTTAAATGCCCCTAAGCCATGCCCTGTTCAGGGGCCAAGGAGCCACCTAAAGTGCCTTCACCTTCTGGGGCTCTGCTTCCCAGCTCCGCTGACATGTGAGTCTGAGGGCCTTTTTCTGCCCCCACGGATAAAGCCAGGAACGGCTGGCAGACACCGAGCACTGACTGTGTGCCGACCACAATGTGCCCTTTCCTTTAACACCTCACTGAGTCCCACTAGGAGCTCCAGGGGGTGGGCAGGTCCCGGTGTCCCTGTCTTACAGCCAGGAAAACAGCCCCAGAGCCTGGGAGGCCCTTGTTGCTGTCCTACTGCAAGGGGAGGACGACCCAGGTCCACAGCGTCCCTCAACCCCAGCCCCTCCCCAGTCCTCCGCCAGCCTGGCCCTCCTCCCGCAGCAGCTCAGGGCAGCCAGATGGAAGGGGCCACCTCAATCACCTTGTACTAATCCTCCCCCCGCCCCCCCCCCCGGGCTGGCTGGGACAGGCCACTGGGCCTGTGGGCACCCGGGCTGAAGAGGGGCTGCCAGGGTGGTGCATGCTGAGCAGGTGAGCACGGCAGGCACGGGGGCAGCTGGGGGCGCAGGGAGCCCCCGAGGGCAGAGGACTGGGGTGAGGAGCACTGCACGGGAGCAGGGTCCCCGCCTGCTTTCCTGGGATCCCAGACACCCGGGGAGGCAAACAGAAAGATGATGAAGACGGGGAGAGGGGGAGTCAGGGAGAGTTCCAGAAGGAAAGAGGAACAGAGGTGGGGGACAGAGAGGAAAGTCAGAAGGGAGTGGAGACAGAGAAAATGAGGCAATCTGAAATCGGCAGACAGGACTGCGGGAGGCAGGATGGACGTAGGACACTGTGAGGGAAGAGCCCTGCACATCACACACTCCAGACCCAGCAGGTACGGGGCTCCCCGGCCCGCCCCCGCTGGCAGTCCCTCCCGCTGTCCCACCAGGAGGTGGCGAGGAGGAGCCATGTTCGTGAGCCCCGGCGAGGGGCCCGCGGCTGAGGGCGGGGGGCCGGCCCCCTGCGAGGCGGCCCCCGGGAAGAAGCACCGGAGGAGCCGCACCACCTTCACCACGTTCCAGCTGCACCAGCTGGAGCGGGCCTTCGAGGCCTCCCACTACCCCGACGTGTACAGCCGCGAGGAGCTGGCGGCCAAGGTGCAGCTCCCGGAGGTGCGGGTGCAGGTGAGGGCCCCAGTGACCGGAGGGAGCGGAGCCAGAGGGACCCTCCCGGGGCGTGGGCGGAAGGGAAACGGAAGGTGCCTTGAGGAGGGGACTTGGGGCTGGGGCTAGGACATCTGAACAGCCTGTGCCAGGATGTGCAGGGGTTAGGTTAGGAGTTTGCCCATCGAGCTGGGTGAGCTGGGTGGAAGGCGAACCCAGATGAAGCTGAGGAAGAGCTTGTGAAGTCTGCACTCCCTGACCGAAGGCGGGGAAGACCGGAGGGGCCTGGTTAGAGAACGGTGAGCAGGAACGAGAGTCCGGAGTCTTAGGTGATGTGATGGGCGTGAGGCAGGGCCTCTTCTCTCAGGACAGCCTGAAGCACGATAAGGAAGCCCGGCACTGCAGCAGGGAGGCAGTCAGGTCAGACAGCAGGCGGGACCTTCGGGGCTCAGAGGCCCAGGGAGGGACCCCTCCCCTCTGCTCTGGGCTGCAAGCACCCTCTTGCTGCTTCCAGGTGTGGTTCCAGAACCGTCGGGCCAAGTGGCGGCGTCAGGAGCGTCTGGAGTCCGGCTCCGGGGCTGTGGCAGCCTCGAGGCTCCCGGAGGCCCCAGCACTGCCCTTTGCCCACCCTCCAGCCATCCCACTGCCGCTGGAGCCCTGGCTGGGCCCCGGGCCACCGGCCAGGCCGGGTCTCACGCACCTGCTGGGCCCAGCCCCGGGGCTGCCGGCGCCCGGGCCGCACGCCTTCGGTTCGGCCTTCCTGGAAGGCTTCGCTCTGGAGGAGGCGTCCATCCGGCTCCTGGCCAAGGAGCACGCACAGGCTCTGGACAGGGCCTGGCCATCGGTTTGAGCCTGGTGCCTGCCAGTCTCCCTCCCCGGCCAGTCCCGAGGGCCTGGGATGCCAGAGCTAGGCCAAGGTCAAGGGGCAGCCCATCAGCAGGCCGCCTATCGATGAGGAGAAACTGCCCATCCCCACTCCGTCTGTGGCCGCCCAGGCCAGGTCCCCACGCCACTCACCCTGCCTTTCAGGGAGACTGGACAGGAGGCGGCCAGAGGACTTCCAGGCCAGGGGGGCGGGCTCTGGGTGGCCTCAGGGAGTCTCTGCCCCTCCTCGGGCCTCGGTGCCCATCTGTCTCAGGGAGGAGTGTGGGTGGGTGGGTTCGGAGGCTCTGGGCCGCTAAGGCTGTCATCGGGAGCCACCAATACCTTAATTCTTCGAGCCCAGGAGTCTAAATCCCTGCTGATCCGTCACCAGCAGAGCCACCAGCTCTCAGGGCCTCCCTCTCTGAGAAATACCTAACATCAGAGCAGCTCAGGCCCAGCTGCTTCCTCTCCCGTGTGCTCCTGGCCGGAGCCCATCAGGTGAGGACCCGCCCATTTTACAGGGAGGCAACCGAGATGGGAGGCCAGTTTCCGGAGGCCACAAGCCAACAGGGACTCTCACTGCCTGACTCCGTGGCCCCAGGCATCACTGGGTCCCTGCTCGCTCTGGAAGCAACCGGACCCAGGCCAGGGCGAAGGGGGACCAGGCTGAGGCTGCCGAGTACTGCCCATCCCTGTCCTTGTTCCCTCCATGACTCAAAGTGTGGCTCACATCCCCATCGGCCAGAGACCCTGTTACATCTCCCAGCCCAGCGAGGGTGGGCTGGGGCAAGCACGGGTGGGAGGGCCAGCATTTGTTCTGTCCAACTCACTTCACTAATTCATCCATCCATTCATCCAGGAAGTAATAGGGCCTAGGTTTGGCTCAGTGGGTAGAGCGTTGGCCCACGGACTGAAGGGTCCTGGGCATGTACCTTGTTGCAGGCTTAATCCCTGGCCCCAGTCAGGGCCCGTTTGGAGGCTTGGTTGTGATGTGTCTCTCTCACATTGATGTTTTTATCTTTCCATCCTTCCACTCTCTCTAAAAATCAGTATCTTCAAAAAAACATCCTCGGGTGAGGATTAATGACAGCAACAAAAAAATCCAGTAAGCGATAGGGACACACACTAAACAAACAGATAAAGGATCCCTGTCCTAATGGACCTGCCACTCCAGTGGGAGAGACCAGATGCACAATGAAAAAATAAATAAAACGTAAAACGCCAGCTGGTGGTAAATGCTAGGGAGAACAACACTGGGAGGGCGAACGGGAGTTGAGTGGCAGGTGGAGGCTTAACACGGTGGGAAGGCGGCCTCACTGAGGGGCCTCAGAGCACAGGCCAGGAGGAGGTGGAGGAGGGAGCCATGGGGACACCTGGGGGAGAGCGACCCAGGCAACAGGCACAGCAAGTGCAAAGGCACCGGGGCAGGACCCAGGGGGCATCAGAAGGGCATGAGGAGCCTCTGTGCCACATGGAGCAGAGTGAGGAGAGGGAGGTGAGGGCAGGGAGGCGATGGGGGCAGGGCAGGCGGGGCCTGTGGTAGTTACAGCTTTGATTTTTACCCTAAGAGTGAATCATGGGAGGGTTGGGATGGGCCGCATACCCAGGGCGGGCACCTGGGAGGATAGTTTTCAATAATCCCCTTGGCGAAGTCCTTCTGAGCCGATAGAGGCTCATTTTCCTGGGATCAGGCAGAATTAGCTGTGGGGACCCCGCCCTGCCCAGCCAGCATGTGGGCCCACAGGCTGAAGGGTGGTGCCAACCCTCCAACCCATCCTTGAAGGAGAGGTGGAGGCCACAGCAGGGAGGTGGGACCTCACAGGCACTGCTAGTGAGTTTCCCCCGTAGCGTCCTCCCTGGGACCCTGTCTTTGAGACCCATCCCTCACAGCCAGGCGGGCAGGAGTTGGGACACCCAGAGCTGAGGTTCTCACTGGGGCTGTGGGTAATGTTCACGGCACCTCATTTCTGGTGAGACCTGGGCAGCAGTGGAGATGGACGGGATGGTTGGTAGGCTCATGTCCCTGGGCTCAAGTGAGTGGCCAATGAAGAGAACCCCCGTGACCTTGGCAGGAAGGAAAGGGAAGTCCCTTCCATCTGGCTAGGCTGGCTGCACTGGGTAGGAAGGTGTCAGTCAGGAACCCTGGAGCCACCCCTGCCCTAGAGAACTTCCTCTTGGGGGCCAAATGGACACAGAGACAGAGAAGACAGCCACACAGCTGAACACCGGAGCACCTGGATCCAACCATGCCTGAAGCCAGCTCTATCCCTGGACAATTCAGTTCCTGAAGCCTGAAAATTCAGTTCTGCTTCACATGGTTTGAATCCCTTGCAACCAAGAGAAGTTTTGGTAGAAAAACCTCCCACTTGAGGGGCTGAGGCCTCCTGGGCAGCGCTAGAATCCCAGGAATCGGGTGAAGCAGCCCAGTGAAGCCTGGACGTGAAGCTGGACCTACAGAGCCCAGCCAAACACTAGGTGCCCACCTCCCTGCCACAGGCTCCTCTTCCCAACGGCCCGACATCTCCGCACTGAGGAGCATCCAGGACCGGCCAATGACAGCCCCCCAAGAGGTCTTTATTGGTCCCCACGACCGGGACCCATTTCACTGTGGAGGCCACAAAGAACACAGGTAAGAAAAAGTCCGTTTTCTCCAGGAAGAGTCTCTCATGGGGCAGGTGGGGAGGTGCTGTGCCCCGCTGGGGCCTCCTCTGGGGCCTGTGAGATCCTTGTGAGGCGGGGTGCTTCGGTCCCTCTTCCTCTAAAACTTTTTGTTCTTGCTCACCCGGTTGTGGCGCCACATGTTGTGTTTCCGCAGCAGCCGCCAGTGCTCCCAGGTCTCAGGGTCCAGCTCCTCCAGCTTCTTGGGGGGGCCCACATTCACCTGGAACAGCCTGATGGGGGATGGGCAGGAATCAGGGCTGCCCAACAGCCATCCACAACTCCTGGGCCCCCGGTTCCTGGGGCAGAGGCAATGCCGAGGCACGGGCAGGTCTGGGTCCCCGGGCAGTGATCTCAGGGCGGTCCCTCACCTTCCCTGAGCCAGGTTTCAGGCTGTGGAACAAGGGGGCACCTCCATCCCAATAGTGCTGATGGCTGAGGTGGGCACATGCCAAGCCTCCTCCTGCCCCCGGGCCACTGTCCATGCTGTGCATCTGTAATGCCTCCCCTCCCGCTCAACCTTTCTGCACCTTCCCCAGCTTTAAGGATCTGTCAATGGTGTCCATGTCCGGCTAATAATCTCAAGGCTAAGAGCAAAACTGAAATCTTTGCAGCCCCCAGGACCTGCCAAGGCTGGCTTCCATGCCCTCCCTGCCCTGTCTACCCCTACTCTCCTCCTTGTCCCTAAAAACCAGGTACAGTACTGCCCCAGGGCCTTTGCACTGGCTGTCCCCTTGCTGTTAAAGCTCCTTTCACCCACTCAGGTCTTCACTCATGCACTGCCTCCCGGGGGAAGTCCTCCCCCAAACCTTACACCTGATCAGCCAGGCTCCTCCCCACCTGGTCACCGGTTCTCCCCACTCTCCAGCCTGGCCCACTCACCACTCGGGGTACTCGGCATCCGGCTTCAGGGCCACGTCCTGGCCCTCCTTGTAGATGTTAACACCCATGGCATGCGTGGTGAGCCGGACAGGGTCTGTGCACACCTCTGGGTCCTTCAGGTCCTCACTGACCATGCCCCCGCCTTTGCCGCCTTTGCCCCCCTTAACGGCTGGATGGGGAGGAGAGAAGAGTTCAGCCCCACTCAGTCAAGCTCCGCGCCTTCCTTCCCCGCCCCCTGTCTCTCAGGGTGGCCCCAGGCCCTGGCTGGCCCCTGTCTACAGCACTCAAATGATTTTAAGTTGGACATGGACACTGCAGTAAATAGCACTGATGCTCAGAGTGACCAAATCACTCCTTTTCCATTCTATTTTGATTCTTTGTGTGTTTTTTTTTGTTTGTTTGTTTTTTCCCCACAAAGAAAGTGCTGCTACGTCTCTTTAAGACCTAACATATATTTGGCAACTCCTTCTTTCAACAAAGATCAGGCATGGTGGTAGCCAACTAAAATTCCAATAACTTTGTTTTGGTTTTGCTTAAGTGGTTAATACTTGGACCCCACTGCACCCTCGAATTTCTGGTGATGACGTGCAAAAGGTCACACTAGGGCAGTGGTCGGCAAACTCATCAGTCAACAAGAGCCAACTATCAACCGTATGACGATTGAAATTTCTTCTGAGAGCCGAATTTTTTAAACTTAAACTTCTTCTAACGCCACTTCTTCAAAACAGACTCGCCCAGGCCGTGGTATTTTGTGGAAGAGCCACACTCAAGGGGCCAAAGAGCCGCATGTGGCTCGCGAGCCGCAGTTTGCCGACCACAGATCTAGGGGAAGTAACAGCATTGGGACGCAAGTTCCCGACCTCCTCCCCCCGCCCCCACCCAAGAAAACAAACCCACGCCTGCGCAGTGAAGCGCGACTGCTCCACGTCACTCACACCGTCATCAAAGGCTGCTCAGCTTCAGGCCGGGGCCTGCTCAGAGACCAGCTGCGCCCTACGCGCCCCAACTGCGCCTGCGCGCGTAACCTAGCGGCAGGCCACTGCACGTGGGTGCCTGGATTCTAAGAACCACCTCCCCGACCAGCGCCTGCGCAATACAAATTACCCCATATCCTCACTGCTCCCATTAAGGTCTCTTAACGCAGCTCACCTGGTTTCTTGGCATAATCCCGCACGAGGAGTCTTCCAGGAGCGGCGGGGGCCGGGAGCTCCCGAGGCCGCCAGCCGGCCCAGGTCCGGGTAGCCCCGAGTAAGCGTCTGGCCGCCATGACGCACGCCGGCTGCCGGCACGTACACGTTTTTTGAGACGTCAGCGGCCAAAGCGTGCTTGAGAGAGAGAGAGGCTCCTAGAGGTTCCTGGGAAATGTAGTATTTCAGCCTAAGGCCTACATTTTTTGTGTCTTATTTAAACTTTTTATAGCTTATATTAGTTACTGTATGAGGCGATTTTAAAGGGATGTTTCATGGGCTTCTTGCCCTTCTTCGGTTACTTATTTACTTTAAAAGGTCACACCTTATACATTCCTGATTCTATTCAACGCACAAATACTCAAAGCCTGAAAGTCATTAGATAGTAACAGGTTCATATTCCAGCCCCATTGTTAAATCCTTAACCGGCTTGATTTTGTTTAATCCTCACAATTACGAGATATTTCCTCTCCTATTATTATTATTACCAAGTTATAACTGAGGAAACTGAAAATAAAAAAAGATAAATATAACTGGGAAAACCAAGGTTCAGGGAGGAAACGTTAAGCCAAGATGCGTCATTCGGCCTCCCTACTGTAAGCCAAAAGGGAAATCTGTATACAATTGGGTCTCCACGCTACTTCCATTGTCCTAGAGTCTAAAGAGACAATCTATCATTCACCATTAGTATTTTCCAGTCTCATATCTTCCCATTGGAATAACGACCACAGTCGTAGGAAACCGGTAGCGATTATTAACCCCATTTTACAGCTTAAGGAAACAGGCCCAGAGGCCAGCCCCGACTCCCACGCTACGTAAATGGAAGCTTGGGATTCGAACTTTCAGCTCTGATACCTGGCGCCCCCCACCCCGCGCGGCGAGGTTGGATGGGAGAACTACATTTCCCAGCAGGCTCTGCAAGGGAGCGCATGCCCAGTAGGCCAGGAGCGCTGGGCAGCTATATCTGCCGGCGCCCTGACCAGGAAAGGTGAGCGACGGCGGCAGTGAAGACCCTCCCGGCCTGGGATGTGGGACCGCTGCGGGGTGAGGCCACCTCGGTTTGCGAGGTGAGTGTCTTGGAGGGGCAGAGCGGGGTCTGGGGCCGGCGCCTGCGGCCTCGGGTCTGAAGTCTTGAACCTTGGGTCTGCATAAGGATTGGGTTTGTAGCTTTGGACTCGAGCTGTCTTTACACCGGATCTGAGGTCCGGGTCTTAGTCTGGGGGTCCACCTTGAGCGTGGCATTGGAGGTTTTGAGGTTAGGGTCGGCTTTTTGGTGTTTCGGGTCTCTAGTTTTAAGTCTGAGGTCCTGGGTCTAAGTCTTGGGTTGGGGTCTTGAGTCCAGGATCTCGGGGACCTGCCCATGTTGGGTCTGTATAGCCAGAGTTGTATCTCTAGCCTGGGTACCAGTCCCGGGGCAGAAAGACTTGGAAGAGTAAGGGCTGGGGTGATAATGGGGAGAAGTTAAGGTTGACAAGTATAAGGGAATCTCCCTGGGGTTTGGAGCCCATAATGTCACACTGCCTTACACAACAGCTCATTCTGCGCCTCAGTTTCATCATCTGTAAAATGGGGATCATAGCAGACCCTGCATTTCAGGATATGGTGGGATTAAATTATGTGTTATATATAAACAGCTCCCAGCTAACACCTAGCACCTGGTTGGTACCCAGGAAGTCTCACCTTTTAATCTCTTTCAGATGCTGGCCTGAGCCTGGATTCAGACCTTGAATTCCTGACAACTCCCCCACCCCCTCCAGGGCCTCTGGCCATGGACTTGGAGGAGCCCAGGGACACACCTACGCCCTCTCAGGACCACAGTCCTGACTGCCAGTGGGACCCAGTGCCGGGAGGCCCATGCAGCCCGAGTCAGATGGAACTTGACGGGCCAAATATTCAGGATCTAGTGCAGCAGTTTGAGGCTCTGCCGGGTGATCTTGCGGGCCTGTCCCCAGAGGGGCTCCCCTGCCCCCTGCACATCGCCACCGGTCATGGCCTGGCCTCCCAGGATGTGGCTGATGCCCATGGGCTCTTGTCTGCTGAGGCTGGCAGGGACGACCTGCTGAGCCTTTTGCACCTCGAGGAGTGCCCTCCTTCCCCGTCTTGTCCCAAGGAGCCTCCAAACCCTGCTCCTCACCTATTACAGCCCCCTGAGGACCCCGATGGGGATACTGGTTCCTCAGAATGGGCAGAGGGAGCCTCTGCTGAGCAGCATGGCCGCAAGAGCTCAAGCAGCTCTCCGGAACCCTGGCTGGAGACGGTCCCTCTGATTGCTCCTGAAGAGCAGCCTGCCAGTGCCCAGGTAGTGCTTGCCCCAACCTCCAGACCTTCTCTGCTGCCAGGAGCCAAGCCAGGGGACTCAGTCCTGCTCCTCTTTTATCTTCTTCTAGAGCCCCAAGACCGCGGCTTCCTACCCTGCCTTCCAGGAGGGTGAGTGCCCCACCCACGCTGTCCCCAAGAACCTAGGGGTTTCAGAACAGCCTGAATCAGCCTCCTGAAATCTGACTCAGCGTTTGCCAATAAGGAGTTGCCTCTAGAGAGGCTGAGAATGGTTTCCCGTTGATTCCTGAAGGCCTGAGAGAAGAGATACAGCTGTGGGGGTGTTCTAGAATGCGTAGAAGACAGTAAGGCAGGCTGGGGTATTTGGTGGCACTCTGTTCTAGAGCAGGGGCTGGCACATTACCATCTGTGGACCAACTCTGGCCCACAACCTGTTCTGGTATGTCTTGTGTGCTACGATGGCTTTTGTATTTGTAAATGCTTGGAAAAACCCAAAAGAAGAGCAGCATTCCTTGACACATGAAAATAATAATGCGATTCAAGTTTCTGTGTCCACAAATAAAGTTTTATTGGGACACCATCATATCTAGTATTCATTTATATATTGTCTGTGGTGGCTTTTGTGTTGCAACAGAGACCACCTGTCCCACAAAATAAAAGTAATTTACCGTTTGGCCCTTTGTAGGAAAGTTTGCTAATCCCTGTTCCAAAGGCTTTGGAAGAACCAGTTTTGACCACTAGGAATATTCTAGAATTTTCCCCCAAAACTATCTGAAGCTCTATGTCAAAAGCAAATTCTGTGATTGTAAGAAGAGGAGATGGTTTAGGCCTGTAGTTCCAATAAGGTTCTGGAGTTGTCGGTGGAGTTATAACTCACCTACAGAGTTCCAGAACGGCATCGTGGTTCTAGGTCAAAGGAACCTGGGCTCGTGTGTGTTCTGGAATGGTGAGCAGAGCTGTGTGGTTCTATTCAGACTGGAAGTTCTAGAACCATCGAGTGACTAGAAAGTATCTGTGACACTAGACCAGTAGGAGATATTCTAGAACTAAGCAGAGCTGTCCAATTCTAGAGGAGTCATCAGAAAGTTCTAGAGTGGTGCCATACAATATAGTGTGAGCTATATGTGACTTGAAATTTTCTAGGGATGGCTCTGGCTGGGTAGCTCAGTTGGTTAGAGCATTGTCCTGATACTATGCCAAGATTGTGGATTTGACCCCCAGTCAGGGCACACATAAGAATCAACCAATGAATTCATACATAAGTGGAACAGCAAAATCATTGTTTCTCTCTCAAATATATAAATTTAAAAAAAAATTCTAATAAAAAAAATAAACAGATAAAATTAATAACTCATTTTATTTTATTTTTTAAAATGTATTTATTGATTTTGTGTGTTTTGCTTTTTTTTTAAACTGAGAGGAAGGGAAGAAAGAGATAGTTAGAAACATCAATGAGAGAGAAACACCGATTCAGCTGCCTCCTGCACACTCCCTACTGGGGATGTGCCCGCAGGTACACGCCCTTGACCGGAATTGAACCTGGGACCCTTCAGTCTGCAGGTCAATGCTCAATCCGCTGAGCCAAACCGGTTAGGGCAGTAATTCATTTTAATTAACCCAATGTTATTTAAAATAACATTTTAACATATAGCTAACATTTTACAATTATTTTACTTTTCGTTCATATTAGAGCTAAATTCCAGTGTGCATTTTGTATTTAACAGCACGTCTCAGTCCAGTCCAGCCACATTTCAAGTACATAATGCCCACACGTGCCTGGTGGCTATGATGTTGGATGATACAGTTCTGGAACCCCCGAGCAGAATTGTCTGTTATTCCAGAATGCTTAGATCATGAAGGACAGCAGGCAGAGATATCTGTAGTTTAAGCTCACACACAGGAGTGGGGTTTACTTCACTGGGGCCTATACCTGTGGTTCTACAACAAAAAAAGCAATAGCTATTCGGTTATAACCTTCTAGAACTGCTGACAGAGCGGTTGTCTTGTTTTATGTTGCTCAGGAGATTCTAGAGCCATGGGGGCAAAGCCTTATGTGCTTCTGGGCTGGTTTGGGGCAATTCTAGGACCATGCCCAGAGTTGTTCGTTTCTGGATGTTCAGGTAATTCTCAGAATCAGTGAGTGCATCGGTGGCCCTGAATTATTGATGGGGATTCTAGAACCACAGGAAGAGCTAGCTGATGCTGTGAGGATTAAGAAATTCTGGAATCCTGGAGTGGAAAAGTCTGATTCTGGAGTGATGCAGGTTCCTAGAACCCCTGACAGAATTCTGTGGTTTGAAACTCCACTCTGTGGAGTTCTAGAGACATAACTCAGAGCCATTTGGGTTGTGGACAGCGTGAAGGGTTTAGATTTCTGAAGAGCTGTCTCTCCCCGAGTGGGCAGTCCTATGGCGGAGGAGTTTTCCACAGTTCAGTTCGGAGAGGGGAGAATTTCATGGTCAGAGCTCATTGCCCCCAGATTGATTCAGGATGGATTCCAGAACCCACTGAGTGGAATTGACTACAGTTCCATAGTGTTGCAAGTTTTAGAAATGGGAGTGGGACCATCTGGGTCCAGTGTAATCGTGGAATTCTAGAAACAGTGTGGAGGTTTCTGTTAGCATTAGTGCTGGGTTTTTTGTGTGTTTTTTGTTTTGTTTTGTTTGTGTTTTTATTGGTTTCAGAAAGAGGAAGGGCGAGACAGAGACAGACACATCAATGATAGAGAATCACTGACCAGCTGTCTCCTGCATGCCCCCCACCGGGTATCAAGCCCACAACCCGGGTATATGCCCTGACCAGGAAGGGAACCATGACCTCCTGGTTCATAGGTTGATGCTCAACCACTGAGCCACGACGGCCAGGGGACTAGTGCTGGTTTTGGATCTAGCTGTGCTGCTGGACTCACAAAAGCCCTTCTTCTGCCTGGGAATCAGACGTGGACAGAGCTGGCTCTGGAGTGCCCGACCACACGTTCTAGATTTTCGAAGGCCAAGCTGCTGGTCTGTGTCTCCCGCGGGCGGGATAGTTCTGGGAAAGTGGGCAGACCTGTGTGAGCAGGACCGGATCTGCAGAGGGGAGATCTCTCTGTGCTTCCAGACTACGCAGACAGCCAGAACCCTGGACCGGACCCATGAGGGTGGCCCAGCCTGGCCGGGGCTCTCGGGCTGACCTGCCTCCGCTGTTGCCCTCAGTATCAGGTCCCTGTGACCACGAAGACCTCTGTGATGGTGTCATATTCGGGGCCAAATACCTGGGCTCCACCCAGTTGGTGTCCGAGAGGAACCCGCCCCCCAGCACCCGCATGGCACAGGCCCAGGAGGCCATGGATCGCGTCAAGGTGAAGCCAGGGGCTGGCAGGAGGGCGGGCGGGCAGGCAGGCTACAGGCTAGGTCCTCCAAGGCCCCGGAGCCCGATGGGGCAGAGGCTGGGTCTCTGGGTTCCTCTACCTCCTCCCCTCCCCCCCACAGGCCCCTGAGGGGGAAACCCAGCCCATGACCGAGGTGGACCTCTTCGTCTCCACCAAGAGGATCAAGGTCCTGATGGCCGACTCCCAGGTACAGGGCTCAGGCCCAGTCCCTGGTGCGTGGGGGGCTCCGCGGAGGCCTCCGCAGCCCGCCCAGGCCCGATCTCCCCCACCTCCAGGAGGCCATGATGGACCACGCCCTGCAGACCATCTCCTACATCGCCGACATCGGCAGTGTGCTGGTGATCATGGCCCGCCGGCGGCTGGCCCGGCGCCCGGCCTCCCAGGCCCACGGCCACCGGCTCTACAAGATGATCTGCCACGTTTTCCACTCCGATGATGTGAGCAGCCGGGCCCCGGGGTCCGGGTGCCCCCACCTCCTGCGAAGCCCCCCTGGCCACGCTGTTACCCCCTGCCCTCCCTAGGTCCTCAGTGCTGGCCGGTCTCTCCACCCCTCCCATGGGTCCCACATATTCCAGTTTCCCCCCTAAGACCCTGAAATCGGTGCCGAATCCCGAAACCTTCCCTGCCCAGGCCCGGCTCCCGCTTTCCGAGACAGTGGCTGTGTCCCCAAAACTCATGTAGGCGGTCTCCTGGGACTCTTGTCCCAGGTGGGTGTGTGGACTGGGCTCTGAAGGTGTCAGGGGACTTGGGGGACCAGAAGGAGGGTGGGACACCCCCGGGAGACGCTGCCCATCCCCCGCAGGCCCAGCTCATCGCTCAGGCCATCGGCCAGGCCTTCACGGTGGCCTACAGCCAGTTTCTGCGGGAAAGCGGCATCGACCCCAGCCAGGTGGGCACCCAGCCAAGCCAGGGGGCCGTGGGCTCCGGCTTCCTCCACAACGGGGACCTCGACCACTTCTCCAACAGCGAGAACTGCAAGGAGGTGAGCGAGCGGGTGGCCGCCCCCTTCCTGGCCCCCTCCGGGCGGCCCTCATGCCCCGCCCGTGTCCTCGCCTAGGTGGTCATCGAGAAGCGCCAGGGTGAGGGCTTGGGCGTGGCCCTGGTGGAGTCGGGCTGGGGGTCCCTGCTGCCCACGGCTGTCATTGCCAACCTGCTGCACGGGGGCCCTGCGGAGCGCTCGGGGTCCCTCAGCATCGGGGACCGCCTTACTGCCATCAACGGGACCAGCCTCGTGGGGCTGCCACTGGCCAGTGTCCAAGCTGCCATTCGCGTGAGTCCTGGGGCCAGGGGCCAGAGGGGCTGGCTTAAGGGCCTGCCTCCCCATGGGTCTGGGAAGGGTACAGAGGTACCCACTCTGGACGGGTCTCTGTGCTTAGGCAAACAGGCTGGTAGAGGGGAAGGCACCCATCCAGGGTGACCGCCCTGGTGCAGGGCAGGATTGGAGTGCAGGTGGCTAGTGGCAGTGCCAGCAGCTTTTCCTGCCTGCCATGAAGCAGCAGCTGTATGTTCTGAGTCTTGAACCTTGTTGCCCAAATAGGGAAAGTGAGGCTCAGGAACGAGGAGGGAGCTGGCCAGGTCAGAAGAGTAGGTCTGACAGTCCACACAGCGTGATACTAAGTGCCTGCAACCCTGCCTGATTGCACATTAGAACTTGCTTTTGACCATGAGGACACTGAGGCCCAGGGAGTCAGAGGTGAGAGGTCACACAGCTGACCCCGAGGCCACCCGACTCCCATCGGTGTTCTTAACTGCTTCTTGAGGGGTCTTCTAGAATCTAGAGCCTTGACTCCAAATCTCCATTTTCCGGTGGGTAAACTGAGGCCCAGAGGAGGCTGCAACTTGCCAAGAGGTCCAGCAGCTCTCCCTCCCCCCGGAAGCCCAGCTAGGCCAACAGCCCCTGTCCTGCACAGGAGGTCAAGTCGCAGACGTTGGTGACCCTCAGCATCATCCACTGTCCGCCCGTCACCACAGCCATCATTCACCGGCCCCACGCCCGTGAGCAGCTGGGATTCTGCGTGGAGGACGGCATTGTGAGGCCCCGGCCCAGAGCACTGTGTTGGGGGTGGGCAGCCCCAAGCATGGCCCTCTGAGCACCATGACCCCTTCCTGTCCCGTCAGATCTGCAGTCTCCTCCGGGGTGGCATCGCTGAGCGTGGGGGCGTCCGCGTGGGACACCGCATCATCGAGATCAACGGGCACAGCGTGGTGGCCACGCCACATGCCCGTGTCATTGAGCTGCTCACCGAGGCCCACACCGAGGTGCGTGGGCAGTGGGTGGGACTGGGGGTGCCCTCCCACCAGCCCAGGCCCCCGCCAAGCCCCCGCCTCTCCCACCCTCAGGTCCACATCAAGACCATGCCAGCCACCACCTATCGCCTGCTCACGGGCCAGGAGCAGCCTGTATTCTTGTGACCAGCCACCCCCCCACCACCACTGTGCCTTAGCCCCGCCGGCCCTGGGACTCCGGTCCTTGGCTAGCTGGGGCCCCAGAGGATTCTTGGCTCTATATTATTTTCTGATGTAAAAAAAAATTTTTTTTAAATTAAAAGCTTATCAGATGGATCCGGTCTCGGGTCAGGGTGTGTGGGGTTAAGTGCAGAAAGACAGGACTTGGCTCTGGCACCCACGTCCTTCCTGGAAGCCACTAGAAGCCAGTGCTGTGAAAATATTTATTAGAGACCAGGGGGAAGGAGCAGGGTTTGAGGTCCGTAGGGGAAACTGAGTCCAAGCGCCTGGGACGGAAAGGGAGGATGGCCAGCTGCCACCTGGGAGGGGGTCATAGGTCGGTGGCTGGGCCCCAGTCGTAGCCATCTTCATCAGAGGACTCCGCATCTCGGGCTTGTGTAAACTTCCTCCTCACAGCTTCCCGCGCATATGTCCTGGGGTCAAGAAATAGATCAGAGGCTCCGAGTGAGGAGAGAGTGGACTTACCTACCGTTCACCAAGGCTGACTACGAGGCCCGCGGGGTGTGGACAGAGCTGAGCAGGACGGGGCATGTGGGGTTGGGTTTATTAATGAGCTCCTTCACAGCCTTCAAAGCCCTAGCTCCAATGTCCCCTCCTTCAGGAAGCCTTCCCAGCCACGTCTCCGTGGCTCTGCATGGAGCTGTGTGGCTCTGGCTCTGTCTTGCCTACCAGAATAGGAGCGCCTCAGGCAGAGCAGGGTTCGAGGCCTCCTTCACCACCAGCCAAACCCTGAGCCCAGAGAAAGGGTGAGGGCCCCGACCTGAAGCACAGAGGCTTACCGCATGCTTTCCTGTCGCCACTGGCCCTGCGGGTGGTAGCTGTCCACCTAGGAGAGGGAGGAAACAGGTTAACCCTGCCCCCAAAGGGTGATAAAATGGGGAAGCAACCCCCATCCCACTTCCCCACCCCTGCCCCGGCAATGCTGCCCGCAAGCTTTCTGTTTGCCCCACCACAAGTCTAAACTCATCCCCAACTTTATTATATTTTACATATTTTTAAATTTATTTCTTAGAGGAAGGGAGTGAGAGAATTAATTGTCTGCCTCCTGCATGCCCCCTAATGAGTATCAAGCCAGCAACCCAGGCATGTGCCCTGACCGGGAATCGAACTGTGACCTCCTGGTTCATAGGTTGATGCTCAACCACTGAGCCACACTGGCCGGCTCCTCCCCAGTTTTATTTATTTTTTATTTTTTTAAAAATATATTTTGTTGATTTTTTACAGAGAGGAAGGGAGAGAGATGGAGAGCTAGAAACGTCGATGAGAGAGAAACATCGACCAGCTGCCTCTTGCACACCCCCTACCGGGGATGTGCCCGCAACCAAGGTACATGCCCCTGACCGGAATCGAAGGACCTTTCAGTCCGCAGGCTGACGCTCTACCACTGAGCCAAACCGGTTTCGGCCTCCCCAGTTTTAAATGAGAAAGTAGGCTGGGACAGGGGAAGGCCTTGGCTGTCACCTAGCCTGTTAGCAGAGGGGGAATTGGGTTTCAGAGGACTACTGTCAGGAGTTCCTAAATGAGTTCGCACATGTGAAGTGCGTAGGGTAGTGCCTGCTCCTACGTAGGCTGCCATGGTCAGTTGAGCAGGCTGGGCACTGCACAGCCCCAGGGGACACCAGTCCAGTCGAATCGTAGATTTGTACGTCCTTATTCTTACCTAGAGAGGGTCTGAGGAAGAGCACCTGTGTCATACAGGCACTGCAGGTGTTGAGGCAGCCCCACGCAGAATAGGAACATACGTTATTGTGAAATATCCAGCTGTGAACAGGGCTTGGCTAAGTGTGCCAAGTTGAAACAAACACCCTGTGATGCCAAGACTTTTAGCTTCTGCCCTGTATCCCAGATAAGGAACTTCACGCACAGAGATGGAAATATTTGCTCTAAGTGATTCAGCACGGGTCTGATCAGAGAAGTTTGTTTGTTACATCATGGCAGAAAACAGGGTCCCCATGTGTCTGCACCATCCCCAGACCCTGGCTGGGGCTACCCCTATATCCTGCTCACCTGGGCCTCTCGGTGGCCTGAGGATCTCCCATGATCCCACAGGCTCTGGGGTTTCTCCACCAGCACAGGCTCCGAGGACCGGTCCAGGGCTGGTGCTGGGGGCCCCTCGTCCACGTCTGTGTGGGGCCCGCCCTCCCCGTCCGTGTAGCCCTCGCCGTCCGTCTCGTAGTCGCTGTTGACCCGGCTGTCACAGCTCAGGTCCGCAGAGCTGTCATTCAGGCCACGGTGAGGGAGGTCCAGGTTGTCCTCCAGGGAGCCATCCAGCTAGGGGGATGTGAGGGGGTGTGGGGGGGTGTGGTCTGGCTCAGCCAAAACCCCCAGCCCAGGGGGTTTGGCCTCCTGGATCTCAGGCCAAACCCAGACCCAGGACACCATCTTTAAACTCCAGTCTCAAACCAGGGAAGACCCTTGACCCTCAAGTTGAGCCTTAATCCTTGACCCCTGAGTTGAGTTCTACCCATTGACTCTTTGCCTGACCCCCCCCTCCCCCAATGTGAGTTAAACCCCAACCCCTGAATCCATCCCCAATCCCCAAATTGAGTCTCCCAATCCCATCTCACTCAGGCACCAGATCCAGACCCTGATCTCAGGTCCGATCTTGGCCTTGGCTGTGCCCCTGAGCCCTCACGGAGGCTCCACACCCCGGCGGGTACCTGGTCCTCGGCTGTCCAGATGGGCCGCCTCTGCTGCTCCTGGATAATGGCCTTGAGCTCCTGGTACCAGCTGTCGCTCGTGCCTTGCAGGTGGACGGTGGCTGCGGGGAGGGGGCATCAGTGCGGCGGGGACTCGGGCCAGACCCGCGGCCTGCCCGGTGCCCCTCCCGTACCTGTGAAGAGGTGCTCGCTGTGCTTCCACAGCTTCTGGGCCTGGGCGTAGAGGCGGCGGGTGCTGCGGCGGGAGGCTGGCGCCAGCCACTGGCGCAGAGCCTTGAGGGCCGAGCGGCTCTCGGGGGCGCAGAAGACCACAATGGGGTAGTACTGCACGTAGTTGAGGCGCTCCACTGCAGAGGGCGTCACGTCTAGGAGAGCGTGCTTGTCCTGGGCAGGGCCCACGGTGGGGGCGGTGGGAGAGGACGAGGGTGGAGAGAGACGCGCGCGGAAGCAGGCCGAGAGAGACAGGTGAAGAGTCAGAGGGAGAGTAAGGGTCAGGTCAGAGTGGATCCCGCCCTCGCACATCCCAGGCCAGCATGGGGATAACCCAGGCCACGGTGTCTGAGGCCCAGAGCCCCAGTTGGAGTCTCTGCCTCTTCCCGGGGCTGTGTGTGACTCTGGGCAGGCTCTGTCTCCCTCCAGCCCTCACATCACAAAACCTCTCCCTGGGAGACCACACTCGCAGGGAGTGGGAGAGGACAGAGTGGACCCTGGGCCTCAGGTTCCCCATCCGTGAAACGGGGCCCTGCTTACTTTCTCTGCGATCACCCGCACGGTGTCCAGTTTGATGATCTTAGATGGCCTGTCAGTCCTCAGCACGCTCTCTGTGGAGAGGCAGCCGCAGCTTCAATAGCGTAGTTCCCTGGCCCCGCAAATTCCTGTCTGTCTGTCCCTCCCCGGCTCAGGACCCACCAGGGCTCCCCATTGCCCTTGAGAAGAATCCTAACAGCAGCAGCAGCAGCATCTCCCATTGGACTCGTGCCCTACACTGCTGATCTGTGTCCCCTCCTGACTGCTGATCTGTGTCCCCTCCTGACCTCAGCCCTCTCCTCCTCCTGAGGAGGGTGGCTGTTGCTGGCCCATCTAGCAGATGCAGAAACAGCCTCAGGCCGATAGGTCACCGCTCAGAGTCATGGAGCCAGTGGTGCCAGGGACAGGAGCCTGATGCAGAGTCTGTGCTCCAGACAATTGCTCTCCCAGGCTTGGTCCCAACTCTAGGCCTTTGTTTGGGCTGTGGTGACTCAAAAGAAGCTCCTTTGCCAGCTTAGCTCAGTGGATAGAGCATCAGCCTGCAGATTGAAGGGTCCCAGGTTCCATTCCAGCCAAGGGCACGTGCCTGGGTTGTGGGCTTGATCCCCAGTAGGGGACGTGCAGGAGATAGCCAATCAGTGATTCTCTCTCATCATTAACGTATCTATCTCTCCTTCTCCCTTCCTCTCTGAAATCAATAAAGGCTTTCTGTCTATGGATCTGACTCCTCGAGGGACCTGTAGTGGAATCACATCGTATCTGTCCTGTGTCTGACTTATTTCACTGAACATAATGTCCTCAAGGTTCATCTGTGTTGTAGCAGGGATCAGAATTTTCTTCCTTCTTAAGGCTGAACAATAGTCTATTGTCTGGAGGGACCACATTGTCTTTATCCGTTCATCCGTGCCTGGACACTGGGTGCTTCCGCCTCTCGGCTGTTGTGATAATGCTGCTGCGAACCTTCATGCTCAAGTGTCTGCTTTCAGTTCTTTCCGTGGGTCACAAAAAGTTAGCTTTTTTTAACCACTTCAACTACGTAAATACCATTCTGAGCAGGCTGTGTAAAAATCGCTAGTGGGGCCGAAACCGGTTTGGCTCAGTGGTAGAGCGTCAGCCTGTGGACAGAAAGGTCCCGGGTTCGATTCCGGTCAGGGGCATGTGCCTTGGTTGCGGGCACATCCCCAATAGGGGGTGTGCAAAAGGCAGCTGGTCGATGTTTCCCTCTCATCGACGTTTCCAGCTCTCTATCTCTCTCCCTCCCTCTCTGTAAAAAATCAATAAAATAAAATAAATTGCTAGTGGGCCAGATTTGGCCTGGAAGATGTAATTTGCTGACCCCAATTCTAGCTTCTTTCTGTAGTTGTTATTCTCCTTGGAGGTCCTCGTGTATTTTGTTCGATGCTGTGTCTCCATAGCTCAATAAATAAAACCCCTGGACAAAGGGAGGAAGAGCTGGCACACTGGTTCCACGGGCATCGGCTGTCTGGTGAACTGTGTGAAGAACTGGGAAGCTCTGTCCAGCCAGAGAGCCAGGAGTGA